GGACAGGCTGAGGGAGTTGGGGCTGTTCAGCCTGGAGAAGAGAAGGTTGTGTGGAGACCTCAGAGCAACTTTTCAATCTCTGAAGGGGCTACAAGGAGCCAGAGAGGGACTCTGTGTTAGGAACTGCAATGACAGGACAAGGGGCAATGGGTTCAACCTGAAGGAGGGGAAGTTTAGGTTAGATACTAGAAAAAAGTTTTTTTGCTGTCCCAGGTTGCCCAGGGAGGCTGTGGCTGCCCCAACCCTGGTGGTGTTCAAGACCAGGTTGGATGAGCCTTGAGCAACCTGATCTAGTGAGGAGGTGTCCCTGCCCAGGGCAGGGAGGCTGAGACTAGATGATCTGTAAGGTCCATTTCAACCCTTAAATTCTATGATTCTCTCACACGGAGGACTCCTTTAGAGCTGAGCTCCATTCTATTGCAGCTTTTAACCTTTTTTGTTTCCTCTCCTATTAGTTTGTTCCCTGATAAAGCAAGTTAATCTACTAAGTTGTTCTTTAAGTATGTTTGATGTGCCCCTTATTCCTCAGCCCTATCATATATGCAGAAGGTGAACCTGAGGCCCCATGATGTGTGTGGCTTAAGTGTATATAGGTTCTAAATATCAGGCTTATAACTTTGTGGCTGCCTCTCCCAATGGGTAGAAGCTGAATTATAACTGGTTTAGTGTTTTTTTTCTTCTGAGTGAGCCACAGATGTTGGTCTGACTTTTCTACCCAACCACAGCTTCTAATCAGCATTTAGCTTTGTCATCTCTACTTGTCAGATTTGGCTGAGATTGGCCAACCATTCCGAGTCAGGGAGGTGATGTGGTGGAGAGGGTAAAGGAGCTGTAGCAAAATTATGACTACCAGTGCAATCATGTACATTGGTAGATTTATCAAACTGGATGAAAGTCTCTGGGCTGTTCTGGCAGGAGTCTGTTCTGTGGAGCACTCTGTCAATGTCACAAAGGGAAGTGGCATGAAGACCTAGTTAACAAATGTCACTGGAGAATGCTGATATGGGTCCCTCTAACAGCTGTTCTCCAAGATATATGTCTTCAAGGTAGTACAGCAGAGAAATCTGTGAGGTGACCTAATAGCAGCCTCTGAGAGATCTGATAAGGATTTTCAAGGGAGTGGGAGAGTAGTTCCTAGGTGAAATGACACTGCAGCTGGGCAGTAAAGATTGAGCTGCTGCACAATACTGTGTTTGCTCTTTCAGAATTAAAGGCCAGTTCTGGTAACGTGACCATTATAGCTTTCATGTGTCAAGTGATGTTCTCGTCTCCACCTTGAAGATGGGTCAGGATTTTGCCAAGGATGGGTTGGGGCTTAAATGGGCTTAGCTTCAGGATAGTTTGCTTAGAATAATCTCTGCTACAAAACTGGAATTTATTTATAAGTGCCCCTTTATTCTCTCATCTGTGCTGTCAGTCACTGATCCCTCTCCACTTGAACTTACCATTTTTTCACTGAACTGTCAGAGAAGACAATAGCAGCTTGATATCTCAAATATCTCAATATTTCCTTCAACTAACCAAGAGGCAAATAGATCTTTGATAATTACTTCAAATCATGCAAAAAATACTTTTTAGGAAAGTACACACATACGACATGGTTTAGGATTTTCTTAAAAATGGAGATAGCTCTTTTTTGCATGGCACAGATTTTATTGTAAGGAACAAAGAGGAAATCCTAAGGCAATATGAAATTGAAGTGTTTGGAATAGATGAGTTTCCTTCAGTCCTTGACTACGAATGTTTTCAGTCTATTTCAAGGAGAGAGGAGGTTAAGAAAAAACAACCAAGAAACATATGTACATGGATAGTGCTGCATTTCAGCCTTCATTGCCTATTTGGCCTTGGCCTTGCTCTTTTACAGAAGGTTTAACAGGAGGTGGTGAGAGGGACAGAAATGTAATCAGTTGAGCTATTACAGAGAAATAATGTGGCTAAGTACTTTCCTGGCAGTGTGTTGCTGTTTTTATCCTTTCAGCAAATGTAATTTATTTATACATTTGTCAATAAATACAAGGCAGCATCCAATAATGAGGACAGCAGGGATTTAAGCTGTATATTGCTGTGTTTGACACAAAGGTCAACCTTGGGAAAGGGGCTTGAAATTAACATTTCTTGAAAACTATTTTTCCTTCCATTGAGGCTATCTCTTAATTCCAGCAATTTTCTCTGTTTGATAAGGAGAGAGCATACATTTTCATTATATAAAGGAGGGAGGAGGTGATGAAACTTTAAAATATTTCAACCAGCATTGCATTCTGGTGATAAGAGTGGGACTTTATGCAGCACAGAAGAGATTACCTGAAGTAGAATTGGAAAGCAAATTGTATTTACAAAAGATGGCATGATTTTCCTAATAGGTGTTCAAAACAGCCTATTCACTCACATATTCTGCTGAGCTTGACTAGAAATAACTTCATTTCAAAAAGGACAAATCTGATTGAAGGTAAAAGCATTCCCCTCTCACAGATACTTGTCTAAAGGATTTGCATTAAATTTTCCTGATGGGAGCACAGTAGTATTTTACAGTGCATCTGCATGAACTGGTAATGTGGAAAATAAAAATACAAATTGTGTCCTTGATTGCTTCATGCTTCAGCCGTTTAGATTGCTAAATTTATGTCTGCAATTATGGAAGAGATGTTGCAATATGATAGTTTGACAATAACTGTCACAATTATATTATCAAAATATAGATACAGCTTATTCTTGAAGTTAAAGAGTATTGAAATTACATTTTAAGGACCAGGTATACCTTCCTGTGGTTTTATCTTGTTTTTAATGCAGCCAGGACAGTTTTATGTTATTGGTAGGATACACAGATGTCACTGATGTCATGTGCTGCAAATTTCCAGGAGCTGTTTTTCAGGGCTGTTGTGAAACACCTTGTCATGGAGAGTATCAACAAGATGTATGTGCTGCTACTGAATCTGTCACGTTTTTGTCCCTCTATAGATCCTGGAGCTGGTGAAGGGCATGCATTACCAACTGGCCTGTCAGAAGTACTTTGAGTTGACGCATGATGTAAGTAGCTACTAATTTTTGTTCAGCTATTATCACTGATTTTGTCTTGAGGAAGGCCTTGGAAATCATGCATGAAGCCCAGAGGCTACCTGCAGTTTTCACATCCATCATTAGCTGTCCTGCCTTGTTAGCTTTCTTCTCAATAATTTCAAATATTCTTTTATAAATTTTTGCATTTATCTACTCATAGAATCATCAAGGTTGGAGGAGACCTCTAAGATCATGGAGTCCAACCATTAACCTGTCACTGCTGGAACCCCTAAACCAGATCCTCCAGTGTCAGATCCAGATGCCTCTTAAACACTTCCAGAGATGGTGACTCCACCACCTCCCTGGGCAATATTCCAGTGCCTGAACACCCTAACAGGGAAAACATTTTTCCTGACATCCAATCTGACTCTGCCCTGGCTCAGCTCAAGGCCATTCCCTCTATCCTCTCCCTGCAGCCCTGGCAGGACACACATCCCACACCTCCCTCCAGCCCTGGCAGGGAGTTGTAGAGAGCCATAAAGTCACCCCTGAGCCTCTTCTCAAGGCTGAGCAAACCCAGTTCCCTGAGCTCTTTCTCATACAACATATGTTCTAGGCCTTTCCTGCCCTCATTGCCCTTGGCTGGACTCACTCAGTGCCTCAATGTCCTTTTTGCAGTGAGTGCCTAAACCTGAACACAGCACTGAGCTGTGACCTCCCCAGTGCCCAGTCCAGGGAGATGAGCACTGCCCTGGCCTTTCAATAAGCATGAGAAGGGAAAGCTGTAGCACCATGATTGCTCCACATGGTTTTTCTGTAAGATCAGTTGTCATTTTAAATGTTCTTGGTTAAACTCCAAAGATACTACAGCTGCAAAATGTTTGCTTCAGGTTCTTCACAACAGTATTTGTCAAGCAGATACACAAAACTAGAGTTTTTATGAAAGCCACTGTGTGCAAAATGTGCTGAACCCAAAAAAGTCTTGTGTTAGTATTGCCTTTTGAGTGGATTAAACAGTTCTGTCTGAAGGGACAGGTCTTTTCACTTGTGTCAATACATGTTGCAAGCTTAAAGTTTTGACTGCACAGCAAATTCACTTTTCTTTGGGTAGAGTGTATTCCAGATAGATTTACAGGTGTGAATGGACAAAGCTGTTAGAGAAATCTACTTTCTCTATTTTTGGTAGTAAGTTTCTGCTAATTTACAAATAAGTTAATGATGAGGCTGTTAAAAATTGATGTCCTTTGGTCTATCCTACCTCAAAACATTGTAAAACTTACAAGAAGTAACATGAGCAGTCTTAACATAAAAAGGGCCTCCAGTTTTGTGTTCAAATTTCTTCTGAATTTCCAACCAGATCAGGATATTTTTATTCAGAAAAATGCTCGCTGAACCTTGCTGGAAAATACACAGAACAGAATTATTTCTATATCACAAATGCAGATGCTGATTATGGACAAATCTCCCCCTTTCTCTGTTCAGGCTCTCACAAAGGTGATAGTTTGAATGGGCAGAATTCTTTGAACTGAAATGGAGTTGTCTAAGCTTCATCCTGTAGAGTTTTATTTTAGTGGCATTCAGGTTTGAAAAGGAGAAATGGTACATGGGATCATACAGCAATTTTAACTACCAGCCTAGCTTTTAGCCAAAATAGCACCAATCACCCCTGAAAACATAGTTGTCAGTTCCATTCATACAATGAACTGCTCCTACAGCTTATTCCAATTTGCTGGGGAGAGAGGAGGCTAGAACACAATTAAGAGTTACAGAGTGACTCTTAAATTGGTCTGAAGAACACTGACATTTTAAGGTTAAAAACCCCAGAGCTAATTAAGAGCTTATTCTAGAAAAGCCTTTTTTTTTTCTTTTTTTTTCTTTTTTTTTTTTTCTTTCTTTTCTGTATCACTTCTTTTTAAGCCTTTTTGGTATAAAGAAGTAATTTAGTTCCAACGTAATGAAAATTGGAGCATGGATGAAAGCTGGCTGGCTGAAACTCATCCAGATAAGACTGAAATGAAATTCAGTGATGGCTTTGGGTTTCTGGTTTTTTTTTTTCCTTCTTCTTCTTTCTGCCTGTGAGTACCAAATTGGAGTGCTGGAACTGTGGCTTTTAAGATTTTTCCAGCAAGGTCACTGCCTGCAGTTGCTAATGTCTTCTTCCTGTCTGAATTGGATTTTGTCACCCATTGTCACCATTTGCTGATGGAGCTAAGCTAGGCAGTGCTAATGCATTTAATCAGGGCTCCATTTAGAGCACACATTGATCCTCTGCTTTATGATTATTCACAAGTGGCTGAAATTGATGGGGTTTGGCATCTTAAATTAGCCACAGAGTATTTCCTCGGGAGCCCTGTGTGTGTGCAGAGCTGTTTGTTATGCTTGGATTGGCCTCACCCTTCTGGGAACAAGGGAAGACAGTGAGAGCAGAAAATTACTGTCTCACTCTTAGTCTTCCTTGGTTTCTTGTGTCCCAGGTTTGGTAAGTTTTCCAACATTTTTTAAGAGCAGTATTTGTCTCCAAATATTCTTAGGATTCACATGAAGTGACAGGCAGGTAAAAGGTGCAGATTGCCTGGATAGGAGGTGGAAGCACCTTTTCAAGTAAGCATTTCCAACTTCTGAGCCCCCCAGAAGAGGCACAAAGGTTGTCTCAAACTGTGGTTTGTGGTGGATGTGTCAGAATAGTTGACTCTTAAACCTGAAAACTTTGTTGGTTTGAAATGTGTGATGAGCATTGATTGAATGTTCATTTAGCAAAGAATTGCAGAGCTGAGAGAATGCTCCTGCCAAGTAGAAAGGAGCAATATAAATGTGCTGCACCTTATGCTGGTTTTGTGTGTTCTTTTCCACTGAAGACTAACTGTTCTTTGGTATTTGTTGTGCATGTAGTTTTAGGATGTTGATGTTGGCACTGATGGACTAGAGATAAGCATGATCTGTTGGGTTCTGTCTTAGCTTGTAACTATTGCATTTGTGGCTAACAAAAGGGAAAGAGGCTTCTTGTTCCCATTCACAGTTTGACACTGATGCTTAAGATCTAGATTTGTATTCTGCAGTTGTTACAACTTTAGTAGTATTCTCTATTGCTATTTGCACTCTAGACTTGTCTCAGTCCCTCTTTTGGCTGGGGAAATGCTGTTTTAAGGTGTGGGTTCAATTGTCCTGCATCTCTAAAGAGATGCCATTTTACTTACATTGTTTTAGATGGCTTCACAGTTTGACACTGATGCTTAAGATCTAGATTTGTATTCTGCAGTTGTTACAACTTTAGTAGTATTCTCTATTGCTATTTGCACTCTAGACTTGTCTCAGTCCCTCTTTTGGCTGGGGAAATGCTGTTTTAAGGTGTGGGTTCAATTGTCCTGCATCTCTAAAGAGATGCCATTTTACTTACATTGTTTTAGATGGCTTGGGATGTTATTTGTCTTTATTGCAGCAAAGACAGTATGAGAGAAAGTCTGAATATACCAAAGCAGTTCCTTTATTTCTAACAGGAAAGAAGAAAATTTGTGATGAAAGTAGATCTGTGTCATGCTAATATTTACTGAGGCAGCATTTACAAACTGATGCCTTTTTCTTCCACAAAATTGGAACTTATTAAATGGCTAATTATTTTGTGCTTGAACATGAAAAAAAGATTACTTTTAGGAAGAAATATAATAACTCAGTGTTCCTTTCCTTTTCTGTGCAGGTTGATGACATTGGGTTTTCTTTGAATCATCCTAATCAGTATTTTACAGAGAGTCAAAGGCTATTAAGTGGTGGTAGAGAACCGAAGAAGGAACTAAATAATTCAGGAAACTCTCAACAGAAAAATAATAGCCAGGAAAGCATGAATTCAAATTCTACTCCCACCTCTTCAAATGCAACAGCTGATTCAGAGCTGGAGGGACTGGAAGCATGCTTCACTGAAGACTAAGCAGATGTGTTTGTTATCTGTGTTACTGTTTCCTTCTTTCCCTTTTCTACCTGGATTTGTCCCTGTGCTAAGGAATATCCACTTCATTACCTGGAAGACACAGGCATTTAGCTCTTTGAATAGGCTGAAATAGAGAAATATAGATATTCAAGCTATAATTGCATCCAGTGCTTATGCTCACTGCATTAGGGAATTGTTCTATATGGCATGTTGAAGGATGGGAAACCAAGTTCCTTCCCAATTATGGAGGGATTTTTGTCTGACTTACCTTTTCTGGTTTTCTTAAAAATGTTCAAATATTTTTATCCAATTTTGCGGTCACTTTTCTATATATCTTCTTAATAAATAAATTGCAAAGCAAACGGTTTTAGTGTTTTCAGGTGTGTTTGGGTAGTAATTTAGGAGTTCTGACAATCAAAATTACCCCCTGAAGGAGTCTGTCTGTCCCTTCTATATGAGGAGCTGAGGGAAATCAGGTTCCTCATTTGTACCTTGACACTAAATTTAGAGAGCTGGTTTTGGTGCTTGAAATTGAACATAAGCAGAGTTTAGACACCTGTAATCAAAAAAGGTGATACTCTGCCAACTGACTCATCATGAAGAAGTTAAAGACTTATTAACTTAGATTCCTTTTAGTTTCCCCCACGTCTGAGTGTGGCTGGAGCCTCCTGTGTCCTTCTAAGCCAAACAGCCATTTGAATGCAGCTTTGGGTCTCTTGAATTCCACTCATTCCCCCAGAGCACAGGTCACCCAACACACAAACTGCTCTCGGTCCAGCAGTGACCACTGTGCAGTGGATGGAAGCTCTAAGCAGAGCTGGTATTTTCTGTTGTGCTGTTAGAGTACTCTCCCAGAGATTTAAAAGGCCTTAATTTTATTTTACCTGGTGCCTCAGTAGTTTCAAGGTGGACTCGAGAGAAGAAAGAACAATTCCCACCATCAGCATCCTGCTACTCCTGACAAACAGTGTGATCCTGACTGTGCTGTTGGTCTCAGAACCACAGGGAGCCATGGAAAGGTGAGTGCCACATTAGGGGAAGAGATGGACACAGGGAAGTGTCTGAGTATCTAACTAGTTGTGTTATGTTAGAGGTTTTATCTTCTCTACAATATTTATTGTACAACTAATACAATATAACTAATAATACTACAATAAGTAAATTTTCTGATTTAAACCATTAAGCTTCTGACTGGACTAAGGACTGATTACTGTTAAGATTTTGGACTAACTGTAAGTCTTTGGTTTCTCATACATACAGTGGGTTCTTAAGGGGGGACAACTCATACAGACTAGTGCAGTAACAGGCTTTAAAAACTACATGTTGTTTGTTGTTAAAAGAGGATTCTCCACAGTTCATTGTTCTATTTGTCTCTGTTGTATTCCTTAGTTTATTTAGGAACTGATGTGTGTAAACTACCAAACCTTTGACTCCTTTGGATGTTGTATATTCAAAGGAGTTGTAGAAATCCACCCTGGGCAAAGGCTCCAAGTGTGGGTACTGCAGGGCTAGGAGCAAGGAGGGCTGGACAGCCACAGTCATGGTTTCTCCTGTTGGTTCAGCTCCTGACATCACCCCACCTCATGTATGGAAGTCCACTGGTTGTATTAGATGGTTGAGACATTTGACTTTAGGGTTTTGAAGAGTCCTAGCGAGTGGTAACACTCCTGCAATTTTTCATTACTGAATACCTGAGTTGGAGCTGCCTCAGTGGACATCCTGGATCCTTTAATAGGAGTGAAACTCTTTGGTCTGTGCAATTAGATTTGTGCTAAGTGAAACAGCTGGGGGAGCAATGAGGTGGTCAAAGTACTGAATGCAGGGGGTGTTTCTCAGCCAAGGGAAAATGTAATTTCTGATCCAGTAGAAACATTTCTGTTATGCCCTAACACTGCTTATGTAGACATCAAACTCCAGACTCTTCCTTTCTGAGCTTGGCCTGGGCTTTGTTGGGAACAGGCTTTGTTCATGTGTTCTATGATGGATTGCTACATTAGCAGAATAAACTGGGTTTTAGGAATTCAAGTGTAAAATTAAAAAAAATAAGTCTCTGTTATAATGAACATTGAGTCAACAGTGTGTCCTTGTGGCTAAG